CCCAAGGCTGCTAATTGTCAAATTCAGCTACCAGGAACAAGTGACTCCAGCACTTTAACGGTTGTTCCGAAACCAAGGGTAACATGGAGGAATACATCCAACGCCACGAAAGCTGATCTCGAACCATAAGGGGGTGGTAAACTGAAGTTAGAACATGTCCCCACACTTCAGTAACACTACAGCGGTGGGGCACTGAAGATGACAGCCAGTGCCACCCAAGTGTACCGCATGAATCCAAGGGACGAAACGACAACAAGCTGGTCCATTGGGATCCGCTAACTGGTTCCAATAATAAATCCTCTACCAGTAGCCAACGTAACTTAAACTACCCCACAACACTCTGAGATGGTTAGACTCATTGTCAACTGCCTGTACGGCAATTTGAGAGGGCTGAGATGAAAAGTAGTTGAACTCTGAAACCTCCAGTCACACATATACCTCAAAATAATAATCCTGACCGAAACCTGGCTAACCCCCACTGTTACCGACAATGAAATCAGTGGATCTGATATCATGCAACGGAGCCATCACTTATTCAACTCCAAGATTCTATGTGGCGTCATTTCACCTAGGCCATACCAAGCATCTACCGATCACGCGCCCGTGCAGCAGAGCTCAACCAGCTATTGCTCAGAACCATCACAGGGTTACTGAAATTCGGCTACAACCATATCACCACAGCTGGAGATTTCAATGCCCCATCACTGAACTTTGACTCGGGACAGGCTTCGAGGAGAATACAAACGAAATAGGATACAAATTATTAGAAACACAGGGTTGAGTGAGAACGCTGGCGACGACACTACATGGAGCCTTGGTGGACACTCACCAAAACAAGATTATATTCTAACTACTGACCAACTACTTGTCAAAAATGTACGGATTATGGTTCACCTAGGAAGTAGTGACCGCGCAGTCACTAGGTCTAACCGTGTTCTTCGTCAGCGCTTACAAAAGATGCCACGCTACCATGTCTGTGCTATAACAAGACTGACCGTGGCGGAATGCGGAGGCTTTTGTCCTACGTAGAACAGCCCTTAGAATGGGCTGAGATGTCCGTGGATGAAAACCGCGAAGTGATAACAGAGATTGCTCAAACGGCGGTCTGAGATACTGACTGTGTGGTGAGAGTTGTCTGCAAGCCAAAATCGTAAACAAGAACAAGGCCTACTCTTGAGGAACTCAATAACTAATCACCGCGGGCTTGCCGTGGGAGAAGACGATTCGCAGCTATACCACCGGACTGTCTAGGAAACGGCAACAAAGAGATGACAGAATGATTTTCAGTGGGAAAGCAACCAATCAGAAGACGTCGCTTCTCTGTTAACAATAACGATTAATAATGTACACAAAAATTTATAAATATCTATTGATTATTCCCAGGAAACGGTCTGCTGCATGGCCCTTGTCTTCTGTCGTTACAGTAGGAACCAGCATAAAATAATAAATCATGCTTTCTCACGAATCTTGTAATTTATCCTGTGATGGAGTTATCTTATTAATCCACCATTTTCCACACATCTTGTGGTTTACTGTGTGATCAGTTTGTAGCTGTAGACAATTTCCCAAAGTTATTGGCCACAGCATTCATCACTGAACATTGGATGCTGACCCTCACTATTTTAATCGACTTGTTTAGCTGCATGCTTTTGGTCAAGCATTCACGCCATATAAATCGCTGCCCTGTGACGTCCGGTCGTTCGCGCACGATCCCTAGCTAGTTAAGCAATGATCTGACACTCCGTTTGATGATCACTTGTGGTGCTGTTTGGCCTTTGGTCTACGCGGAAGCAATACTATAGAAGTTGCGGATATTAGATCATGCGTTAGTATAATTCGTACTATCCGTGAACGTCAATACCTTTGGCCTCCGTCTTTGTCTCACATCGATCTTTGTCGGATCTTAAACCAACCAGAATAGCTATTGGTGGCCAACAAAAAAGTCCGTTCCGCGGCTGACATCATTTTGGTAAAGGAAATATATAATTATGTGTTGTTTCTTAATAGGTATACAGCATCTTACAGTCACAGGTCAGCCTCCGTCTTATTTTTCTGTGACTCAGTGAACTGGGAGGTACAACAGGAGAATAGGCGCATTAGCTTACCAATCGAGTTCATTACTATTATTATTATATCCTTTAATACCTAGAGGAACATAGGGATTCACCTGCGCGTTTCCATTACCGTTATAAAAATTTTTTATTCCTTCACGTTCCCAGTGGAACAAGTTGCTTCAAGCTACAGACTTGAAGTTTCGGTAGGAGTAGTATACTACCGAAACGTTTAGTCCAGCCTCTGCTAAACAGCTAAACAGAAACGTCGGTATTAGTGGCATAGGCCAAAACGTCAGCAATACCACTTTACCAAAGTAAAACCTAGCGGTTACTTTCCGAATAAACCCTGCAATAGTTCTAGGGGCGCTAGAGAGACTCACATCTGGAAAATCCCAGGTTGTGATGACATCAGGCCACCTGTTCTGAAACAGTGCGCTGAAGCTCTCTGTAGGCCCTTAAGTAATCTGTTCCAACACTCTGTGGATTCAGGGAAACTGTCAAGGGAGAGGAAAACAGCCACCCTTTCTCCTAATTTCAGGAGTGGGAGAAGGCGAAACGCCACCAGTTGTAGACCAGTAGCACTACTCCCAATGGTATCAAAAGTACTGGAAAGTATAACTGATGATGACATCCGGGAACACCTCTACAGGACTAATTGACTTCATGAAGCACAACATAGACCCATGAGAGGTAGTTCCTGTTTAACAAACCTACTATTATCTGAAATGATTAGGTACGATGCTGGGATATGAACATTCCAGTCCATGTGAAGAAGTGCAAAGTAGTGAAATCACGCATCTGTAGGCTGCAGAACGTGGGTTACACTCTGTGCGTCGGTAGCACAATGGTAGAATGCTCGCCAACTTCGCATGGCGTTCGGCGTGACTCACTCCGTTACCTCACTAAGGCACTAGCAAGACTGGTAAATATGGAAGGTTGGGCATGAGACTAATAATCCATGCAGTAAAAATATACTACTGCTACCGAAACTTCAAGTCTGTAGCTTGAAGCAATTTGTTCCACTGGGAACGTAAAGGAATGGGAAAAAACCTTGTACAACGAAAGCTTGCCTTGCACAGTGACGAAGTTTGACTTTGGTCTAGTTCTAACGGAGGAGTTAGACATAAGCGTAAATTACATGTGGGATGTAGTGAGTGTATATGCAATCATACACTTTCCACATAAACAGTTACATGCAATCTTTCCTGAGCTCTTTCTAGGGTTGTACAAAACATACGTCAGACCATACCTTGAAGTGCCCCCAAAATGCTTAGAAGAGACGCAAACCTTTGGAAAGAGTCTAAAGACGGGCAAAAAAGAAGTGTTGTGTCTTGGAAACAAACTACATTATGAACGTCTCTTCGCATTAAGCTACCGTCGGCTTAGGGGGGAATTGATTACTGCCAGAATAATTATAAATAACCAGAACCACCCAAATAAGGGTAGTCTGTTTTTTAGTATGTAAGGGCTTCCTCTTGGGAATCCACGAAAGATAGCTTGCCAGAATCCAAAGACCTTTTCCACTGAAACCTTGCTATCCCTGGAACTTGTAGCCTGCAGATTTAGCTGCGACACCATCGGTGGAGAGCTTGAGGCGGTGGCTAGACAATCATGCAGTGAGAGAAGGACTGCGTCCAAACGGCCTATCCCTCTTACAATCTGATACACTAATGGTTAGGCACCTAAACTCATCGTTTTACTTCTCTACATTCAATCCTGTCTTACTCTCTTGACTACTCCAACTATTACATCCCTTACACTATTATTATTATTATTGCTGACATGTATATATATGTATATCAATCTCAAATTTCATTAGCTGTCTGTTTTTAAGTTTTCTTTACTTTTTTAGCTCACACGACCCACACACATGCTATCCTTACCTGTTTTTTCGACGACGCTGGACAGATAACGAGTGAAAGAATCAACCCCATTCTCAGTAGCAACTTGGTCTTAATACACCACATACTACAAACTACATACAATCAATCCCATCACCACTCCCTTTGCTGTCAACCAAAGCTACGACAGTTGAGTGGCAGGAAGAACTACGTAGAAGTTTACTGTAGACCAGGAACCATCACCTTACAATTTAAGAGGCAGTCACGAAGAGATTAAATTGGTTAATAATAGCTGGTAAAAATTACAGTGTATAAGAATCGGCTTATTTGGATGAAGGAATTCCTCAGCTACAGCAGTTGGGTAAATTATTAACCCTAAACTGTATTTGTAGAAGGGCAGAAGAGGAAATACACTGGGAGATAGTGTGCTCATACACCTGTGATTTATTCCAAGTATAAAGAGACCACCTAAACCAAACAAATCTTCTTTGGTTCTCCGCGCATATGACCCAAGTTTGTTGACAGCTAGACAAGACCACCGGCATATGCACAGTAAAAACTAACCTCACTAATCTACTGAGTTAGTTTGAGTAATAGATCTTACATCACCGCAGAGTGCTGGTTCTCCGGATAGGATGTTCAATATAGAGACTTAGTCCCATAAGTAAAGAAGTTGTTGTAACTAACCAATGGCCACACGAAGGGAATATACATACATGCAACTAGTAAAATCCACTGTTACATAAAATTTCTACGAAATTTCATGATATGGTTGCAAATCAGAAAAAAAGGGCTTGCACGCTTTCCAGCTCTAATCCTGAAACCGAAACTGCAGTTGTTTAACTGCTCCATCTGCAAACGCCCTTGAAATGCTGAGTTGCATTTGACAGTTTTCGTGGTTGTTCGTGTATTCATGATACAATATATATTCCGTGGACTTCTCAGCGGCACAAATGATCTTGCCATCTGTGAAGCACTTTAAGCCCAGGTATTTATGATCATAGAAAGAGTAAATTCAGAGTCCAAGAAGTTGGTGTGTTCGTGCAATGACAATTCTCAATGCACAAAAAAGTCAGGTAACCACAATGATGTGAAACGAAACAAAATGGGTCGATGTTCCGTGGAATCAGGTGGTAAATGCTATGCCGCCAGAGTGATAGATAGAGGATTACTCGGAAATTTTATTCGCTTGAAAATGTTGGATGGTACAAACAGTTTTAAAGATTCATCGCTATCGGTGGAAACAAAACCTGATATTTCGAAAAATTTTATCAGAATTATATACGGATGCATCGATTCGTATGAAAAAGTGGTACTTGCCTGCAGTAGCTATCTCACAAAACATGCGATTCCACAATCAATTGAGTGCTGCGATTCTGGTAATATGTGTAACGCTGCTCTGTTTCCGAAGTTTCACCATTATAGCGAGGACATAGAAGCGGTGGAAAGTGCACTGAAATATATAAAGAAAAGCGGCTTTTGGCGAGAGGGTAGCTTCGTAAGGGAGAATACAGGTTTCAAGCCAAATCTCAATTTGGGTCCAGATATGTTGATTGCTCGCTCATCTATCAGAAGTATGCACAATAGAAACCTGATTAAAAGTGAAATGTCGAAAGAATACTTAACTTCTGGCTCTGGGACTGCATATATCTTTAATACTGTACCAATGGTGACATACAGTTTAGTATTCTTCATACTGTCAATTATTCTCGCACTTGTTGGCTATATTTATAAGCGTCGTTTGCAGAAGGATGGATGTTGCCTTTATGAGTTTAGTAAATGCAGTTATGTGACAAAGCGACCAGCTGTGGAAACGATCTGCACTGCTAACATTAAGGAAAAACAGCCATGTAGCAAGAATTTACATTTGATAAATGCTACTGTAAATAAACATAAGCTAAATGTATGTCATTATGGTCCCAGTTTATATGCTGTCTCATCTAACCAGACTCATGATGCTGACTGTAGCACAACAAATAAAACATATTCCTGTCCATATTTATTTACCCAAAGTGGCTTAAATACCATAGCTTCTCAGACAATCAATCGACAAATCACTCTAAGCAAGTTTCTTGGTGATGGGCGGATTTCAGATGTTTGGGACGGTGAGTCGTTACGGTTGTCTTGGCCTTATTTTGAATGACTATTGGTCTTTTTTAAAATGACACCATAAAATCACCATAAGCTGACTGACTGACTGGTTGCAACATGGGACTTTGCGCCGATGTGTAGCAGTTCAAGTCGCCACGCTTCACTTAGCACGCAAAGCCAAAGAAGAAGAAGGAAGTAAAAAGAAATGAAAAATAGAGACAATAAAAAGAGATATGAGGCAAAAATAATAGTAATGTCAAGGAAAAGTATAGTTTTATTGAGTATTACAAGTCACAAGGAGTGGATGCATCTGATCCAGCCATTGAGAACGATTTTGAGCCATATCACCGATTGCTTCCAGCCATTGGCTTTTACCGTCCCGAAGACCCCAACCAGGAAGTCTACATCTTCTTACGTGGCTTAAACTTAATGTTGTGGATTTCATTGACCGGTGAGGCTATGTTTTAGTTTGACCTCCGCTAGCTTTTTTCCAGCCTGACCTTATGTCAGTTAACATTGCCCGTCGACGAAGGCGATGACTAGGCAAACGTAACACATGCCCTAACCATCTCAGTCGATGTAGCTTCACAGCCTCCTCGATTGATTTCCCCTCCTTACCTAGCACTTGACACCTAACCTCAATACTGCTCACCCTATTATACCATTTCACACGGGAGATAGAACGCAGGCACCTGTGATCAAAGACAGCTAGCCTACCTTTTCATGTCTTCCACTCTCAATGGACAGGTCTCACTCACAGCCATAAAGGAGGACGAGCGGACAGATGAGCAGTACACACGCCCTTTGGTCGATAGCCAGCAGGATATCACGTCTACTCCAGAGATGGCGTAAACTAGCATATGCGAAAAGAGCCCTCTGTATCCTTGCTGGGATTTCACCATCGATCACCATAAGCGAAACAGTTCTGGTGTACGGAGTAATTGCTTGTGTCATTTCCATAGTTTTTGCCGAATTATTTTGTAATGACGTTGGTATTGATGTTATTTTTGGAAATAATCGTCGCTAGAATACACAGTGAAAAGTGTTATTTTTGGTAATTAATTGAAACAACCATGAGGAAAACTGTGAATACCCCTGTTTCGTTTTTCCTTTATTTTGTATATTGCACTACATCACCTCAGTACATTTCTAGTTTAGTTTACTTCATTGCTTTGCACTTAGTAGGGGCAGTGGTTAAAACTGAAGCCAGTTCACTTATAGTTTTGTGTGATGCCCATCAGCGTAGATTCATTTTAGTTATTCACCCTCTCAGCAACAAAATAACAAAGAATTAATCTTCTCATATCCTTAGGGGCTCGCTGTGGCTAAAGACTCTAGTTTGAATTCCACGGTGTAGGCTCAGGGCTTCTAGCCATTTCTTATCAGATTCCACTTAGCTTTTTATTTCCTTAAATAACTTCACATCTCCAAGAAAAAACTTTCGTTTAGTAGTATAAAACCAAGAGATATGTGGGAGTTAAGATTGGGAACTTGTGTTGGTCCGAAATTGAAAGAAGCAGAGAATATTCCAAATATTCAGCAATAAGACAAGTAAAAAATATTCGCTCTGTAGGTTCATAATCGATAATTCAGCACACACAAAGTCTGATTGCTGCTGGAGATTCAAACCTTGTATTTCGATAGATAGTCCATATTCGGTCTGGCCACGTATATGTTTATGGAGTCATTGTGTAGCATATAATTAGTATTTTGTCTTGAAGTTATCAGAAAGCCCACGAAGATTAACAACAAAGAAGGTGGCAATAGAAGCTGGGGATGTCTTACAATTAAAGTAGAACTTGAAGTATGTTTTGTGAAGCAGGTATGGTGACAAATGAACTTATTCAGTTTACCAGGGCTTAAACTCTGTTTAATATTTCGTCTCATTCAGCTAAGCATTGTCTAAAGCTTTCACGCACGACGTGTAAGCCATGCTTTAAAAGCTCACAGGCAGGAAGAAATAATAGTGAAAGCTACGATGTCGAAATTTATCGTAGTGTTGCCATTCTAAAAAAGGTCATCTGGAATCGTCTACGGTATGTGCAAAAGAAATGTTATCATGATGAAATCCTCTCGCTCATCCCCACTAGGATACAACCTTTGACATCTTCAGGATACTGTTGTTTAAATTATACAAAATACTTTATTCCGTCGATAAGCAATCTTTTAGGCTGAATTAGTTAACAAGTACTACTTAAGTTGATAGATGATGGAATTGAGACTTCGTTTTGAAGTTATTATTCGTGCGTTTGAGATTTTACATAATAAGGTAAGAAGACTGATCCCTTAAAAACCAATACATTAGGCTAGAGAGGGGAATCTCATCACTGAAACGTTCTCCACTAAATTCATTTTTGCAACAGGACAAAATAGTCCATTCTGATTCTAAATACATTGAAAGCACTTCAGATATCCTCCAACTTCTAGTAATCCTATCCAAAACTATTTAAAAACACTGTTTGAATTAAGTAGGAGGTTTGCTGAAATACTTTTGCCTTTCAGTTTCACAAAAGCATACTAAAAATATTGACTTATTTGAAACTATAGGGTCTAACTGAAATAAAATATATTTCTCTTGTTTTGATTGGTACACATATGCCATCTGAATACTGATTTTTATGGTTATGCACTGGTTGATTTGACTGAAATGTTTGTCGGTATGATAATTATTATATAAATGCTCAAGAATGATGGACACATAATGGGCAGTTGGACAGCATCTCAGTGCCTGAATAGTCTATTATTTAGCCTTATAACCGGAAGGTCCTTGGTCAGGACCCCCGTGGGTGTGTGCTGAAAATGGGTCCCTAACAAGAACAAAACAGCCGTGCAGTGCTGCCTGGTCTTCTGATGGTTCTCTAAGAATTAGCATCTGGTGGTCAGACCTGTAGATAAATCTGACTTTATATAGGTGTAGTGTCCTGGTTTCCCATCAGTACCTAAATCTTGATGACCTTCTAAAGCCTAGTTTTAAACTCTGTTTGAATGTTTTTGTTGAAAGGTATATTCAAAGGTGAAGAAGTTATTGCTAAAGTGTTTCACTCTGGTGCTCGTTTGGCGAATAACGTCTGGCGCCGGACAATTTCATTACATCGTTCAATTCTGCTTCGACATAAATCAATTCATGGGTTAATGTTTGCTGATTGGCTTAATTATCCCACAGAAAAATATCTTTCTACTCTTAAAAATAACTGTTCATATACAACGTCAATTGTTCCTTCACCATGTGCTTTGCTTATCGGTGAAAAATGCAGTTATGGTACTTTAAAAGATCTCTTATCAAACAATATTCCCGATGTAGTTTCTTGTAAACATCCAACTGCTTTCGAGAACTGTGATATGATTGGGTATATAAATGATCACTTTAATACTGCATGTAATTCCGAAGTTACCCGACTACGTATGCTTATGGAGATTGCAAATAGTCTAGCCCGAGGACTTTGGTTTTTGCACTCAGGTAAGTCTCAGTGTTTATATATGTTTTGTTGTCGTTGCATAATGGCTTCCTGTATAAAATAACCTTTAATTTGTGGAACTGAGCAGAGTCTTGCATTGGTTTTTCTGTGGTGGATTACTTCCTTACTAAATACGTGGTTTGTGGTTCAATCGCCGGCTGACTAACTCCTAAACCTTGCTCAGCCGACGGTAGACGCAGTAAGGACGAAAGGTTTGGCATAAAACATCAACGCCACTGCTTCTAAAACCTCAAAGCTGAGGTTTGAAGTCCTGTGATGTACTCGAAACGCGAAGGGATGAATTTGAAGTTTCTGGCAGAGTACATTGATGATAATCAGGATAATGCTAACCATCGCCCGAAGTCACCTTGAAAGGAGACTATACTGGATGTATCTAGGCTGCAGAAGAAGGACACATGGAGGAAAGCAATTGGACTAATTTTTTCAAAATGTGTAAACTCAGTTAAAGAAATTTTGATAGCAACTTTTTCAGATTTACTCGGCAATCGAAGAGAATTGGTAAGGCGTCTGATGTAGAGTGGGTAAACGTTTTACTCCATATCTCAACCATATTGAACAGTGATGTCAAAAAGTGTTTGACTTGTCGAGTCTTGCTATCTGCGTATCTATCTCTATCAGAGCATGGGTTAAATTTAATAAATGAAGTGGATTTATAAAAAAACGTTGAATTTTACACATAGAGTTGCGACAGAGGATACTCTCGCTACTGTTTTTCTAAATTTCACTGCCGGTGATTCGGGAGCTGCATCTCTCTTGAAGGCTGAAGCCAATTACCAACGTTTACTCCTCACAGTCCATCATCACATATACTCACAAACTTAACCCACTTATACACCGATAATCACTGATTACCTAGCTGTTTGCATAAAACTATATGCTGCACATTAACTGAGATGAGTGAGTGTACAGCGCTCATATCAACAAGTAGTGCTTTCTATCCAGATTAAAGAAACCTATACACCAGATGGATGTTTTGCTCCTAGCGGCCGAGCTCATAAGCGGCGTAGCCGGTCCATCCCAGCTCAGAGAACCGAATCAGTTCAAACCACTACCTAGCAAGCACTATTGGTGGATATGAGTGTTATACAACTACTCATCTCAATTAATCAGTAGTATGCAAAAATGTTAAGCAAACATGGTTGCTTTCTTGATTACGCTTTTATAGTATCAAGCACATCATATGCTGTAATCTGAATAATTTCGGTTTCCGAAGGAAACTGTGGTGTACGTTCCACTACCAGGACGATGAATTGAATTCGCCTGACAGCTGTTATATAAGCACTTGGACGACTTCTACCATTATTCTTATCACTTTGTTTATCACACATCAATTTGCCCACTGGAACTTTTATTCTGTTAACCACAATGGCATCAAAACCTATGCTGTATAATTTAATTACATAGTGTTAATCCTTTATGTGGAATTACTGGAAATATGTGTCTGCTTAAAGAGTATTCTTATTATTGTTTCTTATTTTGCTCCTTTACGTTCCCAGTGGAACATATGGCTTCAAGCTAGAGCTTTCAAGTTTCGGTAGCAGTGTTATTTAATTTTACGGGATGGAGTTGCTAGACTCATGCTCAACCTTCCGTCTTTATTAGTCTTGTTACCGGCTTAGTGAGGTAGAGGAGTGCGTCAACCGGATATCGGACCCCGGACCACATGTGTGGTTGGCGAGCATTCTACTGCTGGAGAGTACTATTAGATTATCACAATGAGAAATAGATTGCATATTTGTAAATGACTGCTTTAATGCAGCGTCATCTAAACTGAAAATATATGTAATCTTTAAAAACAGTGACCTGATGATTGCTGTTTTGCAGGGAAGTAACTTCACAGTAGTTGTGTGCATACCATTTAACAACATATAGAAAACATCACCAAATATTATGAATTATCTACAAGTACAGCTCCCTGCTTGCTACATAAGTTCTAACCTTTTAGAAAGTTTCAAGGAAATACCTTCTTTTATCCTGATTTTGTTGAGCATATGAAATATATTCCATAGCGTCATGTTATTAGCCTAGCAACTACACTAAGAGCTTCCTCGGCAGATTTAGAAGCGACCTCTTTTTCTACTTTAAGCGAATTTGTTGATGTTGTCTGGTTTTAATCCAAAGTGTTAGTGAATCATTTTGGAGCATCAGTGGCATTCTCAAATTGGCTTTCCTTAGGAAACATTGCTTAATAAAACTTTAGGATCAAGTTGAACTACGATAACCGAAATGTCATTGAACGACTTCAAATATTATTCGTTTGAGATTCACAGTATTTAATGCGTTATAGACCTCATCTTAATTATACCGAGTAGAACGATTGCACTAATGAATCTACTGATATTTTATTAAAGTTTGAAATCAAACTCATGAGAAATATTGTCTGTAGGAAACACAAAAGCCCTATATGGTACTTAAAACACACACTTTAAGCATCACATGTATCGCTTCATTACATATTTGATATTGTTTTTCTCATAATTGTATAGTTTTCACATATGTACACTTTGAGTAAAAAAGAAGACAGTGTGTGTTCAGATGAAATAGTTATCAGTGTTTCCTCGCTCTGGTAAGTGGATGTCCTTACTCTCTCTCTCTCTTATTTGATTACGCGATCTTTGGCTGTAACCTCTTCTCCTTAGCTATAATGTAATTTTGCTTGCCATCCGTTTCTATGGTTTGAGCTAACCTTGTCGCGTTGTTATTCAACTTTTTAGTTACTCATCATTTTACCTATCCACCTTTTATCCTTATTACATAACTCCTTCGTCACTGTGCCAATAATTTTATTTTCTGTGTAAATTTGAGCCTTCTGTGTATAATATAAGTGTATAGTTTCTTAAGCACTGTCTTTTAAGTGTGGAGTTTCCAGATAACTCACATTTGTAAGCACGTTATGATTGTTCTGTACAATTCCTTTATTCTGTATGCAGCTGATGAAAAGCCGAACGGATTGATGGAAAGCATTTACCGCCGAATCAGCCTCGCCGTAGGTTCTCAATCAAACCACCGCTCACTTAGAAAATTAAGAATAAGTCACCAGTGATAATGTGAAATTTACTGATCCTATGGAACTAGTTACAATTGCCATTCTAACAGTGATTCTAACGTGAATTCCAACCTGCATAGTTGGGTAAATGAGTAAACTAGTGCGTGACAGAGCAATTTAATCTAATTTTATCGACAGACTTCATCGGATTAAAACAAAGCAGGAGTTTTTGGAGATATACTGATGTTCCCAATAACCTATGACGAGAAGTTCGACTAAGTTTCTTACTAGTCACCGAAATGGTAACAGTTTATACCTGGAAATCTAATTTCTGCATCCAAAATAGACATGCTGTTCAGCAACTTTGTTTATGATTTTTCCCATTCCACTCTGATTCTTTTCCCCATTACCATTTTTTCATTGACAAACCTTATACCCCAGAAGTTTACTATTTTATGACCTTTCTTATCAAGTTCATCACTACCAGTTATTTACATAGTTCTACATAAAGTTATAAGCGTATTTGTAATAGATGATTACACACAGTGATAAGTTTCTATGTTCGTGATATTTAGAACAAAGTTCATAGGTGTGATTTTTTACATTCTTTTGAGGTTCCACTTGAATGGTCTTCGTCTAACGGCTTTAAACTAAATCCTTCCAAATGTCAGACTGTTAATTTCAGTTTCCGATGTAAACGAAAGTCAAATGAAGCCGCTGGTTCCTATGACCCTTGCAAAATTGATGATACTGATATAGAAATCAAGTCTGAAGTTAAGTATCTTGGATTAATTCTTTCTTTTGACCTATCCTGGTCTTCCCATGTCTTAGCGATTTCTAAAAGAATATTTCATCTGAATTTTTACATTAAGAAGTTCAGGCACTTAGGCATAACCCAACCACTCCTCTTACAGTTTGTCAACTGGTGTATATCTCAGTGGTAACGTCTCTGACTGCAGCACTGGGTGACGCGGGTTCGAATCTCAGAAGGGACATGAGTTCCTTCAAGGTTGCAGATACGCCTTGCTGACGAGTGCCAACTAGCACGAAACCTAGGTCCAAGGCTTCCTGCCGATTGCCTCCAACCATCTAACACCATCAAATCAATGTGCACCGTGATGACCAGCTAGCTAGAATGGTGGTCACATTACAACCTGACTGATAGAATTCAGTCTACACCAATCAGAGGACTAGACGCATCACACTAGTTACTAGTGTCAAATCAAAATATTTTACCTATTCTTCTTTACTGTTCACCCTTATTATTTCCTGGATTGCTTAAAAAAACTATGTCATACAGTTCGTAGAACTCTGAAGACTGTCAGTAGGACGAGTGGTATCTCATTGGGCCATATCGTTGACACTGTCACTGATAGTCACTTGATGTCATGCAACAAATTTGCTAAAGGAATTTTGTCAGACTCTGGGCACCCACTCTACTCACAGCTCCAACCTTGTGTCTCCTCAGGTAAAACAAGAAGTCTTTTCAGAAGACTTTATGCACGTACGTCTAAGTATGAAATTCCACTATACCATATTTAGCACGTAATATATGTGATGAAAGTGGTGTCAGGCATGAACTAAGTAACCTTCTTTGCACTACTAAATAAACCATTTCTTCCACCCTTACAGTACCAAACTTAGTTGTTATTGTATTTCTGATATTTATAATCCTCTCAATTTTTGGTTTTTATTCATTTATATTTTACAAGTGTGAACATCGTTTAAACTGTGTTACCACTGTTAATCTTGTATTTCCCCTCCCCATACTACATCAACAGAACATTAGATTCAATACTCTATAGTAACTTGCTAAAATTTTCAAACTGAATCCAAAATACTGTTTAAAACAAACTCACTCTTATTATTATATTCAATAATCTCAATTCGTGCTTCGAATATTTTTGACTTTATATCGTAAACGTGGACAAATTCCTCTTGTTACTTTTGTTTTAAATTTAATTTATATTTTAAGTAAATCAGATGCAATATTGTGACAAATGCTGTGAGTTCCATTCTGTATTATAAGTACTGTTTTTGGAATAAAGTAAAGTATGGAAATAATAGAAAAGATTTGTAACTCAGGTGGATGATTTGCAATTAATAGTGTTCTCTGAGCTGGTTGGTTTAGTTGCGGAGCTTTCATGGAGATTTTAAATCATTTGACTTTATGCTAAATACTGCGCTGAAGATGTCGTCGAGAAAGACGACGAAAGCTCCGCAACTAAACCATCCAGCTCAGAGAACACTATTAATTGCAAAAAAGTATAGTATTATTATTACTATTGAAACACAAAACCTCAACCTTGGGCTTTACAGTTTCAGTAGTAGTAGTTTAGTCGATTTTACATCGTAGGACTTCTAGCTTCAAGCCTAATCTTCCCCACTCGTCACATTGACAACCAGCTCAAGGATACAAAGATGTGTGAGCTGGTCAGCAGTTGAACCTCGGACCACATGTATGGTTGATGAACATTTTACCACTGGGCCACCGATTTATATGATCATAGATAACACTAATATATAACTATAGTTTTTTATCATGTAGTTATTTTACTGCATTCGGAACTATGTGACATGATATATTAACAATTGTGTACAGTCACCTTTGTTGCATATGTTGAGATTAAAATTTATACCTATGGATTCCGTCACAAATTTTACTTTTCATCAAAGTAAGAGTAGAATTCTATCCAGATCCTGAAGTAAAACACAGGGCTAAGCTCTAGGGTGATGAAATAATATTCGGTGTACAGTTATATCTAATGCTCGCTATACTCAATTTTAGCACTGACATCACCATTATCCTCAATTGTAGCAGATATATTTATGGACATTTGGGAACATAGAGCTCTTAGAATGTTTGTTCTGCTCCTAGATGATGCTGGGGATATGTGGATGTCACAGTGTGTTTAAATCTTAAAGTATCCCCCAGTTCTTCGTACATATAAACTCACTGGTTGATAGGATCCACTGCATTTTTGAGTTAGAAAGTAAACAAAGTGAGTTGGCCACACCTGACTTTAAAATCGAGTTGAAACAAGATGGTGGATTACATACTACCTTTACGTGTAACCGACATATTCTAATAAATACTCCCATCAAGAATAGGTAAAGATAAGTTTAGTTGAGTGTCTATATTATTGGATCACGAGCCAAATGGTAAGTTAGAAGGTTTTCAATAACGAAATCAAGTAAGTATAGAAAGCATCAACAGTGAATAACAACCCACCGGAATTTATTCACAAATATCATATAAAATAAAATGACTGACATCAGTAGTGAAAATGATGAAAATAATAGCAATATTATGGATTTCAAATTCTCTGTAGTAATGCTGTATAAAGGAGGAACATCAAGGGCACTAGGTGGGTTACTCTTTCTTCGTCTAACATTTTATGTGATAGTGAGTTATCAGTCAGTTATTTTTCGCAACACTTTTACTACAATCTTATTATTACTTATTCTCTCTTTTTCAGAATTTTCTGGTACTCGAGGGAAACCATCTATTGCTCATCGAAATCTGAAACCATCAAACATATATATTCGTTCTGATTGGTCATGTTGTATTGGTGATATTGGATATGCTGTTCGATCACCGCCTCCGTGTCCACTTCCTATTCCTACAGATCATTTGTACAGTGTTTATGAACAGTATGAGAATTACCTGATAAAGCATACAGATGTCAGAGGTAATTCATGTGGCTTTACTGCATCCGAAAAGCTCAGTGATGATCCTATACATAATAAACGATCTGCATACATTACATTACAAGAATATTTGACGGGTACGGAGTATAATGAATGCTTTCGTGAGAACTGTAGGTCTCTGGATCAATACAGTCTTCCAGCTGAAGATGAAACTTGCAATTCACTATTCGATAAGTTAGAAGTCTTAGACTGGTGGCCTATAGGTGGACTACATGCCGGTACACCTCGGTACCTAGCACCAGAGGTTAGTTTACTCTATTTAAATTGAGTGATCACTTATTCAGCGGAATCGCGATTAGTTCGTAACACTACAGAAATCCGTGATTACTGATTTCATCATTTGCTTTTTACATCGCCGATCCAATTTTCACCCTAATAGGCAACCGATCGGCGGGCTCAATCTGATGCTGGTTGGCAGGATATGGTAACACAGAGATTCACGGAGAAAGAAGAACTTCTGTATTTGACATGTGACTTAGGGATTGCTCCGGTTATTTGTAAATTTCTTAACAAACATTCTAGAATAACGAATTTTCCGTTGTAACCGCTGATGGCAATTCCCCCCGTCACTTTGATTCCCATTTCAACCTCCTTACCGTGATACGATTTCACCATATGTATATATATCAATGCGCAAAATACTATGTTGTGTAAAGCACAAAAATAATCCAATGAGCTATGATTAATGCCTCTATTGATGTGCACACCCGCTCAAGTTTTAGAAGCCTAAAACTCTTGAGAACTGAGGCGTCAATCTAGACATCTTAACGGCAGACGAGAATGTGTGTGTGCGTAATATATTTCAAGATTAATACTTAATATAAAAGGTAAATAAATCTGTTATACAATGTCTCATATGAAATTTTCAGCTGTTATGCAAATCAATCAATCCATTCTGCTTAGAGTCTTATCAAAAATCTGATATATACGCGTTGGCTTTAATTCTTTGGGAAATCGTTAGTTGGGCATTGCCAAAGTCTATTTGGCCGGGTGTAGAATCGTCAGATGCATCAAGCTCATTGAACAAATCTTCATTCAGAAGGACTCAGTGTTCAGCTGAGGATGATTCAATGAGTTTAAATCATTTTCATTCGTCACACGGAAGTAAATCATCAAATGGTTTTCCGTCTTCAACAGTGTATTCACCAGTTTACCAAGATGAATGGTTTCAGCTATTAAGCAGACTTGAATACAGCTGTACAACTGATGAATCACATCGTTTATTAAACTCGAGGGCTTCAACGGATGGACAGATGAAGGTGAGTTCATTTGCCTTCTAGTTTTATGTTCACTGTACTGTGTTTAAACAGAATGGAACACGAAAGGTGGTATCACTAATTTGGTGAATAGTTTTTTGTATTTCTTCGAGTTTTCTGTATTGCATCAGTCAGGTTTATCATTTCGAAGTCAAGGTAAGTAAATTACTCATGCGGTGGACTTTGAATTAGTCCTGAGTGACCAAAGGCAATCTACAGAAAGTACTAGACCGTGGTTTTCAGCCGACTGGCACTCGTCTGCAACACTTATCTGCAAACTCAGACGCCGTGTCCAGCGGGAGATTTGTATCTGCATCACTTGAGTGTTAGAATGACTACACACATTAGCAAGGGTTACTCCTCAGCGGTCAGTCACTGTATCAGCTAAAGTCCTAAGGATGGTCAATAGTAGTCAGAGAAATTCAGTGGGGTGCCGCAGTAATTGAATTCAGATCTCAGAGAGGGTTGGACATTAGTACCATCGAGGCTGCTGATGCGCTTTTCTGATGATGGCGAGTAACCGTGAGTTCGGAATTCAGGGTTTTATGTTGACTACTTTTAACCACATAACATAATTCCTATCCTTTATCTAAGGATTGAGTTTATAAAGTATTTCATTTTTGTGTTGAAGGGAGGTATTGTATGTATTAGCTCTATAATTACTACAGCTATCCATGTAGTATATACGGTCTAAATCGGTCAAAATCGTTCGCAATGGCGCAGATGCATCCACTCCTTGTGACTTATGATTTCCAATGAAACTGTTCTGTTCTTCGTTATTACTATTCCTTTGTCTCACACCTCTGTTTACTGTCTCCCTTATGCATTTCTTCTAATTTCTTCTGTTGCTTTGTGTGCTACAAGTAGGGAGTGTGGCGATTTGAACTGCCGCATATATGTGCAAAGTTCTATGCCGAGAACAGACAGACAGACAGACGGTCTAAGAAACCGTAGCTGATTTGATGAGCCATTCACAGTTTGACCGTTTTAAGGTATGTGCTTAGACATACATAGCTTAATCTCTGAAACAAGCAGATGACTACTGGAAGGATCAAGGAGTTTGTTCACATAATGGTACACCCACTGACTGGGCATTGGCTTTCAGGAGAACCGAACACATATCGTGCCTTTTGCGAGATGAGACTAACATGTAGTACCATCCTGTGGCTCAAACAGTCGAGATCCCTATCTATCGTGGACCATTTGTACCTTTAGTATGTACACTAATGCATAAGTAAGCGTCAATGATCGCTTCAGTCAGTTATGCACTGCACAGATAGGGCCAGTAGAGTCCATCTCGAAATACAGGACCAGCCAAACGCTTTCTTATTTACAAGAGTACAATGTGTATCGACGCTATGGTGACATAGGCTCCTGTAAACGAAGTTAGAACCCACCAAATTCAGTGAAATCTATTCCTTGTCAGCCAGTTTATCATGCAATAACCTCAATAAGTCTACTAAGACTAGAGGAAACCATCCACAGTCATATAAGCGAGCTATGAGAATGGCATAGCTCACGCTCATACCGTCTATTTGGCTTATGCTGTAATTACTATAGGGTTTACGAGTAGTAAGCAAGGCAGCCTAGCTGAGTACTATTAGACCCAAATAAGCTCAAAACTCTATGATCACAAGTACTGAAGCCATTTTTTAACCTTCCTTAGTCATTTTGAAGCGATGCCTCCCACAGTATCAATAAGTGGAGTACATTTCGATCATAGTTTATCGCTCGTAACCATATAAGTATATTCACACAACTTTCTAACTTGCTTGACATAGCCTTACTCCCTCCTGGTTTTTACTGCAATTTTTATCTATCCGGCGTGTTTGGTGGTGAATCCGTGAACAAATATTCCATGACTAATCTCTTTATCTCCACCTAATTGCGTCAATTTTCAATACTTTCACCTTAGCTAACCGTAGTGTATAACTACATGAAAGTGGATGTACTAACCAAAACTTTTTCTCTGTTATTAAGCTTAGCATCGTCGGTCATTCTATATATAGTTAAATTCCTGTGTTCAGATAACCCAGCTGATCCTGATCTATTAGTTCGACTTGTTTAATTAACCTCACCTTAGTTAAGTGGTATCTGGTATATTATATTATTTTTCCAAATTGGATCTGTTGGGTCCTTTTGTAATGAAATACTACTCTGACACTTGGTTCGAAAGGCAAAAGCAGTCTTGGATGGAGCTTGGACTAAATTTTGAATTAAGGAGGGAAAATTAGTGCTGAGTAATAAATAAAGGGTACGTCGGTGGCACAGCGATAGAATGCTCGTCAACCACATATGTGGTTTGAGGTTCGATCCCCCGCCAATGCACTCCCAAACCTCGCTAAGCTAGTAAAAAGACTGGTAAAGAAGAAAGGTTGGGCATGAGGCCGGCAACCCTGTTCCGTAAAAATAAATACCACTGCTAATGAAACTTCAAAGCCCCTGGGGACGTAAAGGAATAAAATAAATAAAGGGTATCCAGCCTATTGGTACATGATTGTCTCAACTCTATTTTAAGACTCTGACATAAACTGCGTTAAAGGGAGTGTGGTCACTTAGTAAAAAAGCTGCGGCTTATTAAGTAGCACCTTTTGTGTAATCAGAGCGCATAATTTATTTCTAACACATTAGGTATTTTGTCAGTCAAAAGCCGATGCTGTGGATCTACTGAACTTTGAAAATAGTAGCATTAAGTGCAAAATACTTGTACAACAATATACTTATTAAGTGTATACAAGTTAGCACTTGTTAAATGGGTCCAATTTTCCAAGGCTCAGCAGCTAGTTTAGATGGGAAATCTAGCCAACCTGATGTGAGATTCGAATTATATACCTTTTGGTTAACTAATTATGTTTGCAGTCTAATTGCAGTGGTATTCAATAACAAATGTGAATTTTTATTTCTCTCAAGGACTCTGTTGATTGTGTAGATGAGGTCTGATAAGATCATAAGGCTACATTGGTTTAGGCGACTAGGACACATGTTATGCTTTCTGAGCCGCTACCTTGCTTGTCGAGTAGTAATACAGTGGCATAGGATTAGGTTGGTAAGAAAACAGGTACGGTCAAACTGTAACCTCGCATCAATTTATGAAGTCTTCTGCAGTTGGTCCATGCAATGTAAAGAGTTGCCTTGTTTGGATTCTCAGGATGCTAAGAACTAACAGCTACATACTGTCGATGACATGGTCCAAAACCCGTTCTCATCTATGTGACAGATGCATTCACTCTTTGTTATATCCCACATCCAGTGAGTATTTATGTTTCTTCACGTTACTGTTCTTTCTGCCGTATGTTTCTGTTTTTATGGCCCCTTTCAACTTCTTCTTCGTTTTGTCTACATTTGTGTGCAACGTAGAGTGTGGTAACTTGAACTACTCTACTTCTAAGCAAAGTTCTGTGTTAAATATCGATCAGTCAGCCTGATAATGGAGGTCACTGGTTGACTCCATTATTTGTAATGTAATTTTATGGAACTTTGACCGTATGAATAAATGCATGATTGGAACTGCACGTAAAGCCAATATAGACGAAGAAATGTGTATTACCATAAACTGGTCAATATGACAAGTACTGTATATTTGATAGCAGACAGAAATAACCCATAACTTGTTGAATCGTAGTTGAAATTGTGGATCAGAAGAAGCGCATTATGCTCCATTTAGACAAAGTCATCTAAATATTCCCCCTGCAACTGCTGAAACTCAGTTTCAATACTCATCGTCTAAGCTGTTTAATGTGTTGGCTCTGCAGTTTGTTTTGTGAACTCTGGGAATTTTGACAGAAGTTAAATCGCCTTTACATGCTTGTTGAGCTTTGAACAGATAAATTGTATAATATATGTTTGATTTACACTCAAGTTTGTGTGTTGTTGTCAGGTCTTCGTAAGCAGTCGACATGAAGCTTTGGACCTAGGTTTCGTGCTTGTTGGAACTTGTCAGCAGGATGCATCTGCAATCTTGGAGGAATTCATGTGTCCTTCAAGGATTCAAAGCTATGTCACTCAATGCTGTAACCGGACGCATTACACCTAATTGTATTCGGGTTTTGATGTGGTTTTGTTCTCTGAGCTGGATGGTTAATTTGCGAAGCTTTCATCACCCTACTGGGTGAATCTTCAGCGCATACTTCAATTTGAAGTGAGCTTTTAGATTTCTCCACGAGTTTATTAATCATCTCTCCCGGTGACCTTGGACGTGATTGGTTGTTTATGTGTGTTTTCACATCTTCTAGGTTACTTGTATTGGAACTGACTGTTTCTTTGACTTGAACTTCAAGTTCAAAATCATCCACCTGAGCTACAAATCTTCTCTATCATATCTAAATTGTATTCGGGCTCACGAATTAGTTACTGTAGGACTGTAGTGAACACAGTGATTGAACACTGGGTGGTAACTGACGTCCTGCGTATGGTCCTTGATGTTGCTGCAGATTGAAGTTTATCAGTCAGGCTTGCAATATTAGTGGCCTAGGTTCAAATCTCTGGAAGAACATGATGGCGAGCTACCTAGCTTGCTGGCTACACAGCAAACCTGCGCCAAGCTAAGGATCAGACGCATGATACCAGTTACTACCTAGTATCCTATGAAAAAGCGTTTGTGTATGTCGTTAATAAGTTGTGCAGTACATCAACCTCTTAGATTCTTGATTGTCATGTACTTTTTCATGTCTTCTATTTGATTGTAGAATAAAGAGCCAGATATTCAGACAATGATCCAATTAGTGTGTGAACAACAATTGAGACCTCGTACACCGACACCCCTTCCAGTCGAAACGATCAACGGAATGATTGGGGTTTGCAGCAGTTCTCATCCAAAAATCTCGCCTTTTCGTGATACTGTGATGGCAGTACACATGCAGTTACGTAATACAAACAGTAATCTTAATAATAATAACGACAATTTTATTACTGTGGATAATGAGAAGTTAAGTAAGTATTATTATCAGTAAGATTATTATCTTTTGGGTTCCGAGTGGAACATAGAGCTTCAACAGCACATCTTCATTTCATCCTGTTCTCTGCAGCCATTTTTATCTGGCTCTACGATAGTAGATAGTAATTATCATTTCCTCGTTGCACGACCATCTCCCTGTCACCCTGGAACTCACGCCCGACTCCTGCTTATTCAAGGACATGGTGAGCAATGTCGCTCAACTCCCTTAAGAATGAGCCAAATCCATCTCCATATTTGTTAGGCAGTAGGTTCTTGGTCGGTTCGTTGCCCTGCAGAGTTCCTTGCTGTTAATTCTACCTAGATGGCATATGATATTCAGAGTGGAGCCAGTTAAGGGATCTGTTGGTAAAGGTGTAAAGCTTGTTCAATGTGGTTTTGGTATCGCTCTAAGTCTCTGGACAACATTGGAACAGTGACTGACATTAGTGTTAAAAATCCGAATCTTGGTGCTTATGCTGATTGCAACAGATCTGTACACTGATTTCAAACCAATAAATATGCCTTGCCTTTCCGATTCTGGCTTAGATATCTTCATGTGTACCGCCTGTAGTTAAAGCATTTATTCATAGATCAGTAAAAAGATTGACTTCATTCAATTCCCTTCTATTAATGGGGATTAAATGCTCTCGGTCACTGGTTAGATATTTTCATCAACTCCGTTTTCTCTACATCCACCTGAAGTTCTGCCTTTGTTGTCCACATCTTCTTTCAATTTTTTGATTTTCGCCTGTAGAATTTACGTGACATTACAGATAAATCATCCGCTAAGTTCAAATCTGCTGAAGTCTTCTTATCAGTCCAACGTATTACTGTCTTCTAGCTCCAACGTATCACTTGCTGTATGATGTATCCCACCACAATAAGAAACATCTTCGCTGATAGTAGTTTGCCTTGTTTTACTCCTGTCTTTACTTCAAAGGCATAGCTGATTTGTCCGCTGCGGATCACTATGACAGCGATGCTCATTTTTTCCAGGTTTTTAGGGAACTTCATTTCTTGTGTCTTACTAATTCGTTTATAAGGAATTTGAGTACCTGTTTAAGAGTACAACAGGATCACTATTCCACAGATCAAAAATAATGGACATTGATTTTTTTTATTATTCTCAAAAAATTCACAGTATTCAAACAACTGGAAAAAATCTTTATTAACCAGCGAATATACTGGGAAGTATCTGGGTTGGTACTTACGTTTCATGAAAGACATTTAATTAGTAAATAAATGACCATTTAGACTTATGTCACGACTTCACAATCTACTGTTTCCACAGGCTTATCCAACATGACCAAATGGCTAGTTTGTCCCTAGCAGCCGTTCATGGATACATTTAGATGAGGTTTACACCGACTTGATATATTATAGCCGTTATGATTTCATTTCTTTGTCTAGAATACTTTTATTTGAACCCCAATAGTAAAGATATACAAGTGGATTTTTGGGAATGAAATATCTTAGGCTTATTCAGATCTATAGACCTGTTTTGTCCCCTACAAGGGAATCTGTTTCTTATAGACTATCAAAATGATATGAATATGTTTCATCTTTATAAGTTTAATTCAGAGCACTAGATTTTAAATTTGTACATGATCACATTTTAGTTATTAAGTGTTGGTTTGCAAGGATCTGACTGGTTACGGGTTTTATCACGAGCTGACATCAGCTGGAGAACTCAATGATTTTCTAGTGGTTCTTTGACTGGTGTCAGCTCGTTTTCAAACTTGTAGCCAATCAAATTTCTGCAAAAATACCACTTGAAAATTATTCTGATCCATGCTAGCGACTGGTTGTTTGTAGGAAGTTAACTGGAGTTCCACTGTGACCAGTAGGATTCAATCAGGCTGGCAAGAAGACAGGTACTCGTCAGTAACATTGGTTGGCGTTTGCAGTGTCTGTCATGAACTGTTGAAAGATGGAGTTCATGAGGCATTTAACAGCGTCCCAGAGACTGACTGGTCTAGGAATACGCCTGGTAATTGAGAGGTCCTGGGTTTGAATCTCGGTAGATGAATGTTGATGAAGATTCCCAAACAAGTAAGAAACAACTGTTCAACACCCACTAGTTTTCCAAATGGACATCCAAATGATATCAGCTCACATTTTAGTTAGTTAGCTTGTTATCGGTTAATGATTTTTCATATGTCAACTGAACAGTGATGATTTCTTCCACCTGCCCCTGGTCGAAGTGGCTGGAGTGGGATTTGAACAGCCGAAACACCCTGGCTGGAAGCTGAGTATCTAAGTCAATGAAGTGCATTTCCAAATTCTCTAGAGTTATCCTCTGTAGTGGTGATGATTATTGCCACAGAATATTTTACAATAAATGTGTTAATTTGTTTGTATTCTTTCTAATAATAATAATTATTATTATCATCTCTTTTAGTCGCTAAAATTTATCGAGGCTCATCATCTTCCAGTGCATCATCACTACAAAGTAATGATCATACAAACTTAAACTCAAACTCCAAGTTACATAATTCCGATGAATTAGAAATTATAAAACTACAGAGTGTAATTGCTAATCAATTTGCTCTCCTGCTACCAGAATGTTGGACAACTGAACCAGATCCACGTTTATCAGCATTACGCATTAGAAAACGTTTACAAAGTATTTACGAGTTAATGAGTAAGTTATAGGGGGGGAGGCTGATAAATTATTAAAACAAAGTATGCCAGCATCTTAATGAATTGCATTTATAGCATTTTACTTCATCAACCTCTTGTATACATTGGATACAATGTCAGTTTCTCTCTTTATCTGGCCGTCTCTTTCTCTCTGTATGTTCTTCATGGAAGACTCCCTTGTGCCAGGGACGCTCTTTATTAAAAACTTTCTTTGTGCATATGAAGAACTACCTTATATTGTTAATTCTTTATTCTTTTTCTAAGATTTCCCTATTTTAATAATGATATGCTCAAGTAGTGTAGTGCAGTATAACTTATCCTCTTGTTAATAAACAGAAAAGAAATTTAAATTTGAACAGCCTTTGAAATCTTTCAATTGATCGGGAACATGTTTAACGCTGAAATAGTTACTTAGATGACACTAGTGTAAATCTCCATGAAATACAAGCTTCCCTCCAACTTTATATTATATTATTATTCCTATGGGTTCTGTGTGGAACATAGGTCTTCAACAACTGATCTCAACTTTGTTCTATTTTCTGCTGTCCTCTTCTGCTGGGTCCACATTTGCCCATAATCTATCATCTCCTCCAACTCTCATGATCCCCTACATGTCACCCTAGGACGATTTAGTCGTCGCTTCGCATCGGGATTCCACTTGAGCTGTGGCCCGCGTTGCTGGAGATGTCATTCGATGTCCTCTTCAACGTATGCCCGATCCATCTGTATTTTCTCTTATGTATTTTTGAACGATAGGCTCTTGCTTGTTGGTTTGTTCGTAGAGTTTCCTGTTGTTAATTATTTCTGGCTAGTCGATCTCCAGGACGGAGCCAGTGTAGGCAGCTGTTGATAAACATCTGTAACTTGTTGGAATTCCTCTTCGTGACCTGCATAGTGAGTTTCTGACCCGTACGGAGGAATTGATAAACTTCAAAATTCTGTTGAAAATACGAATCTTGTTTTTTTTATGCTGGCTGAGTGCATAAGATTTCCAAACTGGTTACAGGTTGGTTGATGAAGGCGTATTTTACCTCTTCGATTCTGGTCTGCTTTGATATTTTCATCTGTGCCGTATGCCTACAGTTGAAACTGTGCTTCGTAGATAAGTGAAAGAAGTAATCTCTGTTAAATGTCTCCCTCTGATGGTGATTGGTTCTTGTTGTTGTTGTTGTTGCTATTGTTGTTGTTTACTTGTCTTCATCACCTCCATCGTCGCCATGTTCACCTGGAGTCTTGTCTTCGCTGCCAGCCTCTTCGGTCATTTTGTTGGTTTCCGCCTGTAAGTCTTTTAGTCTGTGTGACATAAAAGACATAAATCATTCACCCACGAAATCCAGATCTTCTAAAGTCTTCTTATTGGTTCAACGTATTCCTGTCTTCCTTCAACTTGAGTTATCACTGTTCTTTTTAGTGAAGTAAAACTGTATGCACCTGACAGATCTGAAGACACTTATAACCTCGGTATGCTCATTAAGAGCAAGGCAGTAAAATCGCTTAAATAACATTATATTCATGAATATTGTTGAATAAAGTGTAATGATATCAAATAGAATATCTGGCTAGTTTTAGGTTACATAAGCGAAAAAAATTAGGGTTAAGTTTAAGCTAGGGACAAGTAGAGATTAGTTTAGCCGAATTAAGGTGATATTAGGGTTGATTAAGGTTAGGTTAGACATCTATTAGGATAGAGTTTGGCGTCTAAATTTACAATTCTGTGTTGTGGCTCTTTACAGTGTCCCATGGTGCGTTCACGCCTCTTCAGTCCCTAATGTTTAACTTTGCCTTCTTTGTACATAATGTCTATATCCTTTGTTAAGTTTTTCTTATTGGCTATATTTGCGCTTCTTATAATAACGGTAGATTTCATGTTTATGCATGCTGTTTCCCCTGTAACTTCCTTTACTTTTTTCTATAAAGTTATTTCTCTGTGCGTTTTACTCCAATGTGTTCTTTTATTTTGTATTTTTTCGTTACCTCCATATTTTCGTTTTCTATTAATAAACAAAGAATTATACCATACTGTAATTTGACTTTGATTTCCTCTAGGTATGAAAAATTCCCTTGTCGTGTAAATAAGAACACAAGATTCAGCAAAAAAAGCGACGTCTTTTCGTAACTTCATTTCAAAGCAGTACAGGTATTTGAGGGAGTTTATATAAACCATGTTAACTGACAATGAAGGTCTGGTTTTAATTTCACTTAGTAGCAAAACAGATCAAAGTGTATGTGCGTAATAACAACTTTCATTCATTTCTCCGAGAGCTTCTCTACCCATGATGAGTTCCCTTCCTGTATTGTCTGGTCCCAGTTTAGCGTTCATGTCTCCCATTAGTATTTTCATGTCGCCAGCTGGAGTATTGTCCATTGTTACCTGTAGTTGTCTGTAGAATTCCTCTTTCTTTTCGAGGTCTGCGTTGTTTGTGGGTGCATAACATTGTATGATTGACACTTTCCTTCCTTTGGAGTTGAATCTGGCGGTCATTATCCTAGACGAAATCGCCTTCCATTGCATCAGGGCTTTCGTTGCCGTTGGTGACATCATGATAGCCACGCCTTCGGTGTGCGTGTGGTTATCTTCTGGGTGACCGGAGTAGATCACTGACTCGCCCGTTGGCAATTGGGTGAGTCCACTCCCATTCCATCCGCTTTCAAATATTCCCAGTACTTGGATTCCGTATCTTTTCATCTCGTTTGCGATCTGCGTAGCTTTCCCAGTCTCGTACATAGTTCGGACGTTCCATGTCCCCACACAGACTTTTTCTTTTGGTGCAAAGAGGTTCATTCTGCTGAAGGTTCTGTAGCAATTTTGTTTGCAGGGTGGGGTTGCTAGCCTCACGCCTGAGAAAGGAATGATTACATTAAGATAAAGTTTAGAGAGAAGCGACTTTTTGGGTTGCTCCCCTCAAGATCGGAAAATAACGGACAAACAATGAGAACAACACCAACAAAAGGAGACAGTTCACAGAAAAAGGGCAAAAGGCGACAACAACTATACAATACAACAACATGCAATATAGTTCAGCACAGTCAACTAAAATGATATCTTAATAGGTATACAGTATCTTACAGTCACAGATCAGCCTCCGTCTTATTTTTACGTGACTCAGTGAACCGGAAGGTACAACAGACGAATAGGCGCATTAGCGTACCAATCGAGTTCATTACCATTATTATTATTATATCCTATAATTCCTAGAGGAACATGGGGATTCAGCTGCGCGTCTGCATTACCGTTTGTTAGCCACGTCTCTTAAACCGTTAATGCCCAGCTCTTGCTACGCTCGGGCTCACGCTGTTCCTTGAAGTTTCTCAGAAACGCTTAGTAATAACGGACGCAAAAACCAAAACACTGATTGGCCACTCGAGAATTCTTTATTGTAACACCAACATATAAAAAATGTTACCACTAAGGTCTGTGAACAAATATTACAATAATAAATCACAATATCACTTCTGATGGTTTGCTACTGACTTCTTTCTGAACAGCTACCGATGAGACGATGACTGTCGTATTGATGCCTCCGCGAAAATTGGGGAAGTTGGTTTTGAGCAAACAATCAAGAATTGATCGTTCAGTCTTCTGTGCGTCGGTGGCACAGTGGTTAGGACTCTCACCGACCATGCACATGGTCCGGGGTTCGAGCACACGCCGACGCACACCTGATATCTATGGTGGGCCTGCGAATTTTAGGCTACCGATATCCACGCTGAAAATTCCACACTTGTACCAAAAATACAGTGTGGAATCAAGCTGTAACCAAAAAATATAAAAAAATATAAAAAAATTGACACTCCCCGGCAAAAAAGGGATCCAACCCCTTTTTTCCATCACGACCAATACACGTTGACTTGGATGCCAATGCGAGAACCTGGCTCACTCGGACAGAGCTGAAATGGAAAATAAACAGAAAAGCCAACACACCACAAGCATACTCACAGCACAATCTCACACATCAATGACGACCTGCGCCTTCCAGTTAAAGGCTTCCTCTTGCAACACAATCGCCACTTGCTAGAATGACTCTTGCAGAATGCAACGTGACCATAGCACCGCCTCATGATACTCCACGCACATCCTCTTATCTGCTCACTACCAATTACCACTGCCATCGCTTGTCACTCATTCTGCCTCAGTTCTAATAACGGTGACGTATGCGAGCCTCAGTCGTTTACACTCTTTCTCCCCGGCGTGTGGGACCGCACATAACAATTATCTCCGTGTGCATTTCATTCTCAGCAATAGCCTCCCCGGCGTATACGACCCATCTGCTGTCGCTAACATCAATCAATTCATTCACGGATGTAGAAGACAAGAAACAACTTCAGAAGTAATCAAGACGAAAATTTTAACAAAATTATGTAATAACAACAAGGTACGAAAACAACAAGTAAACACAATGGATCCAAAAACACTAATTGATATGGCACACCACACATATATACAGACAGTACACACAAACTCGCGGATCATATCTTGATGGAATTCCTTTGAAAAATCGCAGGACTTACACCAGTACGCCTACAAACCTTCACAGGTTGACGATTGTAATTTGTGGAATGTCCGGACACACACAAGATTAACCAACAATTACAATAATTGGAACTCATACAATTATTTAACACAAACATATGTACAATCAACACATCAAATGTTGTGGATTCCGGCATGACAAACTACCCTTGAAGAACTGTAGGACTTACAGCAGCACGCTTACATTCCTTCTCAGGTTGATGATCCAAGTGGAAGTCGTCCGGACAGAAACAGAATTACCAACAGCTAGATGACAGATGATATCAATTCAGTATATACAATATGAACATATGTACAAAATCACACCCCCAGCATATTGGACTGCTCATTGATGCGCTACCCTTTGAAGAATTGTAGGACTTACAGCAGTACGCCTACAACTCTTCTCAGGTTGACGCTCTAGGTTGGAAAACCGTCTAGTGTTTCATCCTCCGACTCTCTACTCTCAGCACCTTCCAGTAGACACAGTTTTCTAATATCT